TATAAATTAATTCTCTGCCAGCAGGAGGCGCTTTTGGAGTAGCAGAAATAGTGGTTTCTCCGGTAATGACTGTACACAAAGCAACGCTGCGCTCATAAACGCTACTTTGTCTGGCATTATAGAAAAGATGAGATGAAAATGACATCGAAGCTTTTCTGAAGACAGTCGGTTCCCTTCAAAGATACATTCATATAAAAACACCCGTGCCGCATTTTGATTTTGAAACGTGCAGTGCTCATGTTTATTCAACGAAGTCAAATCCTTTTGGAAAATCTATTTGTGGCGGTCAGTTTTGATATTGTGGCAGGCCGCCACAAATAAATCAATGTATGGGAAACACTGAAGTCTCATATCATTTAGGCACAGGAAAGGAGAGATGTACTGACAGGCTGAATAGGGATATGGTGGCCTCATTGTCTAAAACTAGTTTATTGCTTGAGTTATATTTGGGATTAGAGTGTAACTAAGTTGATGGGAACCAGGCTCCCCAGCCTTCTTTCTCTGTGTCTCTGATTAATTCAGAGGGCAGGTGTCTCCTATTACAGGTTTGTCAGGTTTCTGGTTACCTCCTGTGCTCTTCTTGCCACCGGTGGCATCTTGCATTCACATCATCACTAGGACTTTTGTTTCTCTGACTCTCCTCCCCCCTCTTTTCTCTTCACATGGTGAATCAGCCTTGACCTACACTTGTTTCCCCAGAGTCAGATGTGGTTGAACTATAACAAGCATTCATGGCACATCGAACGCTTAATCAGTTCCTGTGTAAATGATTGTGGATTGTGTCGTTTGGGTTTTTAACTTTTTGATGCTATGCACTTATTTAGCTTATTATATACCTGAATTTGCAACTTATGGCAGAGTGATTTGAGGTTGAGTGCTTTGAAGCATCACCCCTTGCAGGGTTTAAGCTTCTGTTTTTCAGTTTACAGCCTGATCATTACTATTATGTGACACCATCTTCAGGCAGTCAAAATATTGTTTGCCAGTAGAAAAGAAGTTGCTGTTTAATTTGGACAGTAATTTCAGTTGGATGATGACTTGAATGAGGTGTTTTTCTGCTCTATAGACCTTATGTAGCTCCACCTCTTTTCAACGCTGCGTTAGTTGTCTTCTGTCTTCCGTTTGTCTTTCCGCACCGTGAAGGTAAGGTTGTACAAATTTATGAATGAACGGCTCGTTTTAAAATCGTCATAGTCTACTGACATTTGTTATGACATCCGCTTCAAACATTACAATGCACATGATAGGGATGGGTCACGATTTTTGAATATTCGATTAGTTGATTTAATTCTAGAATATCGAATAGGTTGTGCGATTATTGTCTTTAAAAATGTCCCCATGTTTTCCGTGCTGATGTGGTGGTGACGCGTTCATGTTAGCAGAGGGTGGCGCTGCCAATAATGCACCTAAAAGCTGTCAAAGACAACAGAAGAATGCATTCTCATGTGCACACTGTAGACTTGCGTGGCATAAAAAAAGACTTGCATAGCATATAATGGTTACAGTAATTTGGGACAGTGTCAAATAAGAGCTCTGTGTGGACCACAAACACCCCCGACTGGGTTAGAGGTGTACTGAATCCGTGATCAGAAAGGCGCGAAAAACAAATAACGCGTTCTACGGAGCCACTAAAGGGACATGGTTAGCCGCTTGCTAACGGTAGCCTGTTACAGTACATATCATTTAACTTACCACACAAACAGAGTAAGGAGAGATGACTGATAGGATGATGGCGAATGATTTGCAGATCCTGAGCACCACTGACAAACATCTAATCTTGTCAAATATGTGGTAATACTGCCCAGTGCTGCTCCGTATGTGATCGCGAATCTCGAAAGTGAAAGTAAAAAACAAGCGTGCGTTCAGATTTCAATGCCCCGCATATTAATAACGACTCCTTGATGCCCGCAGTTTATATACAGTATAATTACCCAACGATATAATTGCGACAGAAGATATTGAAGTGTATTTTTCCTCCCATCTCGTATCTATTCCCTTTAGGGATTCATTTTTTTAAATGGAAATGTCCTAGCCTTATGAGCAGTTGATTTATGCTAATCGACGGACTCTTATGTTAATAAGTGCCATCATATTGTTTATTATATTAATATGTTTCAGCACGTTACAATCATTATATGGCTTGAGTTAAGGTAGCCTATCTTCTGAATTAAACCGTTTATCATACAGATTGAAAGCGTGAATCCCGTCTCTCTCTCCATCTCTCTCTGTTTATGGGTATTTGTGCGTGCTTGCGGGGGAGGGGTGCGATTTTCGAATAATAATCAAATAATACCAAGCGATTTTCGAATATTATTTTTGCTTGAAATGCCCATCCCTAGCACATGATAACTTTCATTAACTCAACAGTAAGTGAATCCACATCACCAGCTAATTACTCTTCAAGACTGATGCTATAGCGCTACCGCAAAAACGGAAGTTCAAAGACAAAATTCTAAAGATGGCTGCGCACTAGTTTCTCTGACGCATAAGGTGAATAACCCCATCTACCTTCTCTGTTCTTCTCTGCAGATCCGCCACCATGGGGAATATGTTTGCAGGCCTCTTTAAGAATCTCTTTGGGAAGAAAGAGATGAGAATTCTGATGGTGGGCTTGGATGCTGCTGGAAAAACCACCATCCTGTACAAACTGAAACTGGGAGAAATAGTCACCACCATCCCCACTATCGGTCTGTGTTTCTTGCACTTTTACTTTGCTTTCTTTCTCAGTCATCCCTATTTCAGATTAATAAACTTGTTTTGCACCATGTATTGCTGTTTTTTTCTCTCTAAGTGGGCTTGGTTGTGGAAATATTATTTTATCCATGGACATTAAAAAAACATCAATAAAAAGTTGCAAGGCATTAATCAAACCAACCAGCTCTGATTAGATACTTTGATTTGAAGAAAAAAAAAGTGGTTTCCTGTATTTTTATTCTGCTTTTATTCATTGTCCCTCCCCCCTCTCATTCCATTTCTGTAACCCCTTTCACACTGCACGTTGGTCCCGGAAAATTGCCGGAGTGCCTTCTGTGTGAACGCAAACACATCCCAAGATTGATTCCGGGATCGATCCCGGGTTGGGGACCTAGTAACATTGCCGGGTTCAGTTCCAGAAGGTGCCCTGTGTAAACAAAAGCTGGAACCAATGCCGTAACGGATGTGTCGTAGTGATGACGTAGTATCATGCGACTCTTTGAGTGGGTGTTTTCAATAATACAACCCTGCAGTGCCGGAGGGGCTAGTCGGTGTTTTAAATGCAGAGAGTGGTGTTTGCGTAAAAAAAAAAAAATGAAATAAAATAAACACAAATGTGGTCAAACTAGACTGAAGCAGAGACCACGGACCTCCTTAGTATCTGCGCTGAAGCTGAGATCGTTCGCCAGCTCAGTGGAACGGTACGTGATGCGGTTGTGTATGAGCAAATTAAAACCAAAATGCAACCGTGTGGTTTCTCGGTTTTACATTTTTTTATTACAAAAAATATTACATTACAAGGTATTACAAGTTTTCGACTCGTACATTACACGTCACATCCAATTCCCGGGACACATTACCCGTGTATTTTCTGGAATATGTGTGTGAAAGGGGATCTCTCTATCCCATCTCTTTCTCTGCTGTCTGTGTGTATATATCGTACAATTCTTTGCCCTCGGGCCGTAGTGTTATTAGAGCGGGGCCCCAGCATGAGAGGCAAGAAGTTCATGCCTTTTCACCCTCGTTCCATCTGCCCCTCTTTTCTTTGAACCAGTTTTTAACTTGCCCCCTCTCCTCTTTGCAGGTTTTAATGTTGAGACGGTAGAGTATAAGAACATCAGCTTCACTGTGTGGGATGTGGGTGGTCAGGATAAGATCCGGCCGCTTTGGAGGCACTATTTCCAGAACACACAAGGTCAGTGTCCACACATGCACACAGAGAACCAGGTATGGAGCAACTCTTAAGCGCATACTCAGTCTCTCACTGTCTGTTCCACAGGCCTGATTTTTGTTGTGGACAGTAACGATAGGGAGCGAGTGAATGAGGCGAGGGAGGAGTTGACGAGGATGCTGGCGGAGGACGAGTTGAGAGATGCCGTGCTGCTCGTCTTTGCCAACAAGCAGGTAAAAGAGGAAAACCAAATTCTCTAAATGCAAGCAGCATCAGCAGCCCCAGTATTTATTTGTAAAGCGTCCTTGGGTATTTGAAAGGCGCTATATAAATAAAACGTATTATTATTTGGTTCCTTTTCTGACTTCTGCTAGGGCTGATGTCATTTATGACTTTCATTGATTGGTCTGGATATTAATGGAGTTGATCTTATTTGGTTTGATTTAATTCTGATTCACCAGCTCAAATTCTGATTTGATTAGATTCCGATTAAAGTATATTTCACATTTATAGATTTTGCTTATACCGCTGTTTAAAAGTTTTTTTTTTTAAGAAATTAATACTTTCATTCAGCAATCATTTTATTCAACAGCATTAAATTGATCAAAAGTGAGAGTTAAGACTTTTACATTGTTACAAAAGATGTTTTAAATAAATGCTGTTCTTTTGAACTTTTTTTTTATTTATAAAATAATACTGAAAAAAAAGGATCACTGTTTACACAAAAATATCAAGCAGCTCTTTTAAACATTTATAATAAAAATAAATGTTTCTTGAGCACCAAATCAGCATATTAGAATTATTTCTGATTTGCTGCTGAAAATCCTGCTTTGTCATCACAGGAATAAATTACATATTAAAATATATTAAAATTTAAAACAGTTCTATTAAAGTATAATATTTCATGAAAATACTGTTTTTAATATATTTTTGTTGAAATAAAAGTAGCCCTGGTGGGCATGAGATTTTTATTTATTTTTTTCAAACTTTCAATTTAAGAAAGTCTCTCTCTGGTAATGCTGTAAATTAAACAAGCCAGTGCTTTAGACCGATTCAAACCAGTAAACCCATCTTGCACTGACCACATTTTTGGTTATGTTGTTGATTCATTCAAATTAACTGGCTCATAAGAGTCATTTAAGTTTGTTTAGCAGAATACAGTGACATCTGCAGGTTGGGCAGCACATTTTCACACAGCCAGTAAAAATGTGCAGTGATCTTGGGTTTTTATGAATCAATATTGCACAAATCAAAATTGATATTTTTAAGAAACTCCGTGTTTGATTGCATTGCTCGCTCTTTCCATCTGTTCCGCTACAGGATCTGCCCAACGCGATGAACGCAGCCGAGATCACAGATAAGCTGGGCCTTCATTCTACTTCGGTCCTCAGTCAAGCGCATTCAAGCACAAGCCTGTGAAACCTTTCATTTACACAAAGTCAGTTTGTAGAATGTCTTAAACTATTGCCTGTGGGGAAGAAATCATTTGACCCTGAGTGTCTGCTTTTTTTTTTTTTTTTTTTGGATTTTGAACTTTTCCTACTATGGTTTTTTTTTTTTTTTTTTGGATCTTGCTGATCATCCAAGCAGATCCCAGGCACTAACTAACAGCCTTACATGTGTTTTGATTGCCATGTAAGAGGCGACTGCAGAAGTGATGAGTGTTTGTGGGAGTATGGAGGGAGTGAGCGCCTTCTGCTGGAGCAGCGAGGCCTTTTGCGAGATGCTCCCACTCCAGTGATTCTTCTTTTAGCTCTTTTTCTTTTTTTTTATTGTTGTGATTATAATTTTTTCATTATTATGGTCTCTTTCAAGTTGTCCTGCGTCATATAATACAGTCAGAATCTCATGAGTGTTCAGGTGAGGCCACTAAGGGTTTTTTGAGATGCAAGATAGATAGATGAAGATCCAGGCTGATCCAATGAGCTCCAGTGGTTCCTTGATTGGTTCTTTTTGTATGAGAGAATTGCAGAACAGCTGAAGGTCAAAATGCAAACTCATTCAGCCAACTATAGTCCTCCCTCTTCCATATTTCACATTTCTTTCCTCCTTCCTTGTTTCTCCTTGTTGATGGCTGCTCTACCTGATGCACCAGTCCATTTTTGAAACACGTCATTGATAGAATCAAGCACCAGCAGAGAGATGTTTGCTTTCAGAATGTGTACACGTGTCTTCTAATAATCCAAAACTGACAAACATGATTTCTTTTCCGTCATATTCCAAAGGCAACTGTAGTGTTGAACAGCATTGAACATTCTGCTGTAAAGATCCCAGTGGTTCTAACCCTGTACTGACCTCTCACAAGGGAATGAGTGACGTTTCACTGTGTGTGAAACTTGATAGTATCATGAATGCATTTTATTCATTTGTTTTCTTTCCCCTTTGTCGTTCACCAAAATTCATGTTTCATAACTGTTTTTTGGCCTTTTAGTTATGATACAGTTCTAAGATTTATTTGAATAAGCGTCATCTATGACAAGTAATTAGTGTATGAGTATGAAAATGTATTTAGCTTGCAGATTTCATTTAGCTATCCTATGTTCAGATGTGAAGCTTTAATTTCAAAAATTCTGTAAAATAGAAGCAAGAAACGTGTGCACATATTTGTTTTCTTTTACTGAAATGGTTTTTGTTTAGCTTTTTTTTTTTTAAACCCATCTTGTAACATCTGATAAATGCACTATAATAAAGAGATCTCTATTACAATTGATTTGTTGTTGTGCATTTATTTTACAACTTTTATCAATATTCAAATCTACATGGCTCCTATTGGTGGAGCCCTGATGTGTTCATGTCATACTCTAGTTCAGTGGTTCTCAAGCCTCTCCATGAAGTACCCCCAGCACTGCACATTTTGTATGTCTTCCTATATCTGACACCCACTTCAGGGCTGCGTTCAGCCGCGACAAAAACGGTGCAAAACGTTTTTTAAACACGTCGTTCAAAACGGAAACCGTAGCAAAACGGTGCACACCGGTTTGAGCTTGAACTTGCCCCAGGTCTTGCAGTCTCCACTAATGAGCTGGTGAGTTGAATCAGGTGTGTGAGATAAGGGAGACATACAAAATGTGCAGGGCTGGGGGGTACTCCAGGACAGGTTTGAGAACCACTGCTCTAGTTCATCTTCATGTCATTCGTGGTTGTGTTATGTAGTTAAATTCTTTTAGCATGTGTTCTAATATCTCTATTTAGGGTGACTTGTAATATTCTGTCCCGTGACTACAGATGAAAAATAGCCTTTGGCTAATTCTGGTACACTTACAGAAATGCTTTATTAATGTACAATGTCCCTGTTAACTAAACAAAATAATCTTTAGGTGGAGCTGATGCTGACAGGGCCAGAGTTACTAGTTATCAAATTGATAAACACGTGTCTTATGAAAACATCAAATCAACATTACAAAGTTTTTGAGCTTTCATCATTCATTTATTTGAACAGTTTGCTTCCTTTTCCAGTCTCTGATGTGGACACCCAAACAGGTTCTGCACAAGACATTACAGCTTTCAAACAGAGCCAGTAATACACATTCTAGTATCCTGAAATAATTTCAGAATAAACTTTGTCTCAAAGCTGTCATAAATCAATACTGAGATCTTAAATTTTCGATAGGAGTCTGGCCAGCAGGTAATGCCATTTCATTACACCTCAAAATGTTACAATTTTTGCCTGTCGTTAAATTATGAATCCAAGTTTACTCAAGAACACCAGCTTGGAGAATTAATTAAAAGTTCTGGATAAGACTCAAGTGGCTTTATTGACATGGTAAAAAAGGCTTTACATTGCCAAAGCATTGGTAACATTTAGTTACAGTAATAAAATAAAAAATTGTGCACACCATTATAAAGATGGCATTAGTTAAAGGGTTAGTTCACCCCAAAATGAAAATTCTGTCATTAATTACTCACCCTCATGTCGTTTCAAACCCGTAATACCTTCGTTCATCTTCAGAACACAAATTAAGATATTTTTGATGAAATGTGAGAGCTCTCAGACCCTGCATAGACAGCAAGGCAACTGTAATATTCCCAGGTCCAGAAACATAGTAAGGACATCGGTAAAACAGTCCATGTGACATCAGTGGCTCAACTTTAGTTTTGCGAAGCTACAGGAATACTTTGAGCGCAAAGAAAACAATTTATTTCACAGTTCTTCTCCCCAGAGTTACGTCTTCCGCCATTTTGGAGAGTACCCAAGAGCGTAATCAGCGTGGTTTACGGTCGGGGAAGAAAGCACGTGCATGAACGTAATCTGCTAATCAGCGTTGTTTACGCTTAGGGGAAAGCGTGCGTATGCATTGTGATACTCTCTAAAATGGCAGAAGATGCAACTGGGGGGGGAGAAGAATTGTTAAAGGGGTCATATGATGCGATTTCAATTTTTCCTTTCTCTTTGGAGTCTTGCAAGATCTTGGTGCATAAAGAAGATCTGTAAAGTTGCAAAGACTAAAGTCTCAAATCCAAAGAGATATTCTTTATAAAAGTTAAGTCAACCATGCCTACCTAAAATGTCTCGTTCTAACACGCCCCCACATATCTACTTCACGATGTGGGAAGATTTGCATAACGCCGCCCAAATGTTGACGCAAAGAAAGAAGGCGTATCTTTTATTCTCGCTGTAGTATTGTTGCTGCCGCCATGTCGTGAAGATGCTGTGTGTTTCGTTGTGAAAGCGAAACTACTTTGTTTGGCCTTCCAAAAGAGGACGATATCGCTTCGTCATGCCTGGAGCTGATCCGTGCTGGTCACTGAGGAAATACATCAACTTCGCGCTGTGGATCGCCGGATCGGCTTTCACCGTGGACGAAGCGGAGCCCAGCCCAGGGTCATCACATGGGGTTGCTGCAAGCCCACCAGCCGCTCCTTCATCGAATCCGCACCGTTCTCAAGCCCACCGGCCTCCGCTCACTCTAGCCCACCGACCGTTCCTCACTCTAGCCCCTGGGCTCTGCTCACTCTAGGCCGCCGCCGCTCACTCTAGCCCACCGTGTTTCGTTGTGAAAGTGAAATATTCAGATGTGTGCAGCACATTTTATGGAGGACTGTTTCCTGATCCTGGTAGAGTAGACTACAATGCCGACATGGTTTTAGGTTTACGCGATGCAAGGCAACGCGTAAAAAGACAGTGCAAGTCATTATAATCCGTAATTATGTCCACACTGGATGCAACAAACGCCTCCTGAAGTTGAGCCACTGATGTCACATGGACGGTTTTTACCGATGTCCTTACTACGTTTCTGGACCTGGGAACATTACAGTTACGTTGCCGTCTATGCAGGGTCTGAGAGCTCTCACATTTCATCCAAAATATCTTGATTTGTGTTCCGAAGATGAACGAAGGTCTTACGGGTTTGGAACGACATGAGGGTGAGTAATTAATGACAGAATTTTCATTTTTGGGTGAACTATACCTAGAGGAGAGAAAGGACATGACTGTTGCAGAACCATGATGAATGTGGTGAGGGGAAGCTACACACACAGAACTTCCATTTTAAATAGTAATAGTGACTACAGCCTATGGCCTGAGCTGCTGAGACAGACCAGATACCCTACATAGGACCAGTAGGGTTAGATGATGAATGGATTTAAGGATTACAGGGGAGAAAAAAATGTGTTTCTCTGTAATCCATAGTAAAAATGAGTTAAAATGGGTCTGGAGAAACAGTGTCAACTAGAGAATAAGACTTGAGCTGCAAACTTAAAACATCCATCTTCTGCTTTTCTGGGACCAGGTCATGGTGGCAGCAGACCAAGAAGAACAGCCCATATGTAATCCATTAATACATGTAAAGGCCCTGGAGAAGAGGTTAAATGAGTCACAAGAATGCTATAAAGTAATAACAATAATCACTCTGAAGAAACGCCATTTAACAAAATGGCATTTTGTGTGGGGTAACAGACATCATGGCAGTGAGAAAACCCAGCAGACAGAATGGCACAGTATGACAGTAGCCCTAGCCATCCATATCTGTAGAAGAGAGAAAAAAAAAAAAATCACAAGAAGATGAAAACCTAGATAGAACCATAATGCAAGGGCCTGATATTCATCAAATCTTATAGTTAAGAGTTACATATCCTTTTATATTCCTTATGTTATCAACTGCACAAGAATTTCCATAAATAACTGGTGCCGATACAAAAATTTAATACTATACTCCAAACAGAACCATTTCAGAACACTTGCCATTTTCTTTGCCACATTTTTCAATATGTTTGCGGTTTCCTTTAGGCCATTGCCCTGCAGATTTCTAGTTGACTGAAACAAACTCTCCAAAAGGACTTATCTATATTTGGTTCCATTCAGGTTGTCCTTGATGCTAATAAGCTTTCCAGTTCCTCCTGTTGAAGTGAACACATGATGCTGTCACCAGTGTTATGTGAGGGTTTAACTATATTTGGTTTGCACCCAATATAATGCTTTCCATTCAGACAAAAAAGTTCAAAGCTTCAACAAGCTTACTTTTTTTTTCCTTCTTACAAATTCATCTCTACACTCCACAGACAACAGGATTAATGTGC